ACATGGCAAAAGACTTCTTTGCCATGATACAAGGAAGAAACAGACCTTAATTAATTCTCCAAACATTAGACTAAATTTCTGGTTATCTGACCTTGAGGGTTAAGAGTAACCACATCTCATAGAAGTCTCTTGTTATTTAGGTAAGACATCCATGCCCAAGACCAAACATCCTACAGTAGCTACGCCTTAGAACTTTAGGTCTTAATTATTTTAACCTTGGAAGAGTAAAGATAATTTTGAACTCTCTAACCTTAAGCCAAAATGAAGTGAAGCCATTTTTATGGGCCTTGATGAAATAATTGTCAAAAGCCCATGGTGATTCTCCCCAAAGACTCAAAGGTAGAAAATTCACATGTCCTTATTCCTCTTCAGACAAGCAAAGGTCTCACTGAAACATGAGCCATATGGGAAGCACCAGTCTGGCATTCATGGATCCTGCCAAATGTGTAGCAGTTTGGATGTGCACCACCCGGAAGGTGTTCCTCCTATAAATCTGGGCTAGTTAATCACTGGTTGATAATGTGCCCTAGATGATCTGACAGACGGAATGTTGCTTCTCTCAGGCTCTTCCACGTTCACACTCGGCCCACCACTGAGCATACTCTAGTCTCACCACAGACATTTGTCTCTTCCCTTCTTACACTTCACTCTTCAGAGCCTTCCATGCTTGTCGGTAGACTACAACTACAGCTATGGGTTTACTCTTGCATGGCCAAGGCCCCTGCAGACCAGCTCCCTTCTGTCATTAATACCATGCGTTGTGGCCCAGGATTGACAAAACTGGAAAATCAGGGCTTAATCTCAGCTAAGAATGGAGGAAAGATAGTCTATAAAAACAGAGAATGTGTATTGTTGGCTTTTTTTTTTTTGCACTTTGCTCTTTGAGGAGGTGGGGGAATCCACCACCCAGCTCCCAAATAATCACATGGAGGCTTATTCTTTCCTATGAATGCCCTAGGTTGGCTTATTTCTAGCTAACTTTTCTTAACTTGAATTATCCCAACTACCTTTTGCCTCTGGGCTCTTATCTTTCTCTGTTCTACGTACCTTTCTTTACTTCTTACTCTGTGGCTTGCTCTGTGGCTGGGTGGCTGTCCCCTGATGTCCTCCTCTCCTTTTCCTTTTCTAGTTTCTCTATCCTCTCTTCCCAGACTTCTTCTCCAATTTATTCTCTCTGACTGCCCAGCCCCACTTATTCTTTCTCCTGCCTAGATATTGGCCATTCAGCTCTTTCTTAGATGGTCCGATTGGGTGTTTTAGATAGGCAAAGTAACACAGTTTCACAGAGTTAAACAAATGCAACATAAAAGAATGAAACAATCTTTGCATCATTAAACAAATCTTCCACAGCATAAACAAATACAACATATCTTCAACTAATGTTCCACAACAAATGATGTATTTTATTTTGTTTGATACAAGGTTTATGTAGCTCAGGCTAGCCTTCAGTTCAGCCTCCCAAACGTTAGGATTACAGGCATGTACCAATACACCTGGCCCAGCACCCCATCCTCTAGACAGCCAAGAACAGTTATGTCAAGTGAACACTGATTTTGAAGCAGTCTACTGGAAGTCCTACATAAAGATCCGATTCCACAAACCAACCATTTCCCACCATAACAGCCTTAAGTTGGAAAAACAATTACAGCTTTGAATCTAGCTGTAGCATTTCCCTTTTCTACCTTAGTCGCAAATATTTAGATTGTTTTTATTTGGCAAGATGTTTATTGATATATTTCAGTATTGCAATGATAGTTTACTTATAAGAAAACAACTTTCTCATGTTTACTGCTAAGAGAACAGGTTAAAGCCAATGCACAAATATAATCTGAACATTTATAGAACTCTCAGTAGGGAAAGGAAAAAGAAAAGCTCAAACCCCAAATCCCCTTGGTCAGGTTTCATTCAGAATGATCAGGAAAGAGAAAAATTCTCTCCCTCTGAATTATGGGGGAAGTTTAGTAACATATGTGCCTGGAATGAAGAGTCGATGAATAAAAGATCTGGGGTGGTCCTGAGGCGTCCAAGAAAGCAAGTGATAAAAACTTCAAGATGAGCCGGAGGGGAGGTAGAGCCGGACCCAGGGGGCCAGAGAGACAAGACCTCCATCCAACAGAACTGGCAGTAGATAGCCTGGGGAGCTGGGCGGAACAGTACAGAATCAAATGGTTCCCAAAGTTTTGGATACTTCGTCTGAAGAAGTCCTGGTGTCAAGTTTTGTAAGATAAATTTGTTTCACCTAATTAGGTCACCTAGGAATAGGTGGGGTTTGTATGCGTTTTGCCCAAGTTTGACATTAGCATCATACTATATTTTCTGTTAATTAGATTTCTCAACATAGCACTGTGGTGAGAGCACTTGTATTTTATTAAATCTCAAGAGTACTGGCAAGGAGGAATATGCCATCCAGCAATATTTTGCAAGCTAATTACCTGAGGGGATTCAAGGATGTTTGTGTGGATGGATGTACTATTCAAGTAATAAGCTTTTATAAAGCATGAAGTAGTCTAATTACGAAGCAATTATTATAATGCATGACAGTTTTTAATTCCCTTCCTTATTTTGTGTGGCATTTAGTTTTTATTGAAAAGTAAAGCAAAACATTATAAGATTTGTCATCAGCTTTTAGTTTCACTTTTTAATTATTTCTTAGTCATCTAGGTTGGCCAGAAGTTTAATTTTAAATACCATTTATAAATACCATTGGTATTTATAAAAAAAACTTTAATTTGTTTAAAAACTAGCTGGTAATGAATGCATATTCACCTTTGGGTTTTAAACCATGTTGGTGACTTCTGAATGAACTAAGAAAAGTGGCTTCAATTAGGTACTGTGTTTGTACAGCTCCTATTTTGCTTAAATTTCCCTCCATGCCTAAAGATATACAATGTTCATCACTTATTCTAGGCTATAAAGATATTCATTAATTGTTTCTTTGATTTTTTTTCAGAAAAAATGTAAGCGTTACAGAGACTATGTATTTGCTCCTTTATTTTTTTTGTTTGTTTGGGTTTTTTGTTGTTGTTGTTGTTTTTGCATCTGAAACAAAAAGGAAAGCCGACAGAATTGAAAATGCAACAGTTTGGGGCTAGAAAGATGGCTCAGTGGTTAAGAACACTTGGCAGCTCTTCCAGAGGACCTGGGTTTGAGTCCCAGCCATCTGTAACTAGTTCCCAGGGATCTGGTGCCTTCTTCTGGTCCTGTAAGATACCAGGTATCTATATACGTTCAGGCAGACAGACACACATTTCTAAAAGTTAAAATGCAAACATTTTCTCTGTATTTTTAAGACAGCAGTGTTCTGTTAATTTGACCTTAAAGAAACATGGGAAGAGTAAAGATAAAAAAGTAAGACCAAAAAGGATTTTCTTTTTTGAGGATTCCCACTGAGAGTTACATCTTTATTTTAGTTATTATTACTAGTTACATTGTATTGTGTTTCCTATTACATCACATCTAACACTTTACATAATACTTCATTTAGTAGTGACTGCAGATTGCATTTTGCTTCCTTAAAAGATTCCAAGGAGGAAAAAAAATGACAAGTTTAGACATCCTCTTAATTCAGCTCTCAGAAATCAGTAACCTTGAAATCTCCAATCTTCCACATTCGAACCAACTGATATGTTTTTAAAATATAACTGCTTATTTCTAGAGATTTGAATTTCTCTGGGATACCATTGGGAATGTGATTTCTGAAAGTTCCTCAGGTACTTGCTGTAATAAGAGTTCCAATAGGTCTTAAAAATGAAAGCATGGAGTCAAATATTAGGGGGTGAAAGCTGAAAGATCAGAGAAGCAGAGCAGTCAGCCACTAAAGCTCTTACCTGTACACTATCTTCAGACTGAAAAGAGTCTGAGTTTCTGTCTCCTACTGCCTTATATTCCTCTCTCCATCCAGCCATATCACTTCCTGTATGTATAGTCCTCCAGACCTATATTGTTAACTGGTGGCTAGCTCTGCCCCCTTATCTTCAGGCAAGCTTTATTTGTTAGAGTATAAACAAGATGTCACTATGGCTTCCATTGTGTATTCCAGGTTGAGAACCGCAACTGCGGATAGAGTGACCCCCAAATGCGGCTTCTGCATGTTTATACACGTTGTACTGTGCCTGCAGCGCTGCATGTCAGCACCTGGTGTGTACGCTGAGCAGTCGCATTCAGGGTGGCATCTTCATCTCTGAAATGCTTCTTAGAGGACTGTTTCACGAAAACTTGGAGTAGAAATGCCACTTCAAGTCTTTGTGCAAAACTGTGTATCTAAGTGATACTTCTGTTTCAATACCCAATAGAGTATACACTAACGATAAAAATTAGGACGTTGCAGTGGTATTTCTATTAAATTTAATTATAAACCTCAAGGAGAGTTGTATTAAATGTTTTTTAAATAATAGCCTTTTAAATATGAAGGTTTTAATGTATAAAAGCATAAAATGATATAAATTTCCAAGTTGCTATTATCTAGCTTCAACGACTTTCTTTCTTTCTTCTCTCTCTGTCTCTCTGTCTCTGTCTCTGTCTCTGTCTCTGTCTGTCTGTCTGTCTGTCTCTCTCTCTCTCTCTCTGTTTCTGTCCATCTGTCTGTCTTCTTTCTTTTGTTGATTTTTGGGAATTTCACATCATGCACTCTGATCATACCTACTTCCCAGTCCTCCTCCACAAATAAAAAAAATAAAAGAAAAAGAAAATCAAGTCTAAGTTGGGTTATCCATACACTCACCGATGCACCGTTAAACTCTCAGTGGCCTGCCCCTTAGATAGAGCCGAGTCCTTCCCCTCCTTGCACCCTGACCAGAAGCATCAATTATGGAGAGTTATGCTTCAGTATCCTCTTCATACTCTTGAAAAGTTCTCTTTGATGGCTTCCTGTCTGGGCTAGTACTTTTGGGGGGAGCTTAGGGAGGTAAGGATTGTCACAGAAGCCCCTGCCCCTTTCTCAACTGTGCTTCTGAAGCCAATGATACCACCGCAAAAGTAACTCCCTTGTTCTCTACATTCAGGGGAAGCACAGATCATGGGCCTCTCCATGATTTCTTGGTACAGGACAGACCACAAATACATCCCATCTGCAGTAGGACCACGGACACAAACAAGGCCCTTGAAGGCAGCCCAGATCCCGAACATCGACTTTGCTTTAGGTGGCAGTGCGTACCACTCACATCAATGATGTCCCCTGGCAGTAGCAGAGCCCACAGACATCAGCCAGAAATGATTCTTTGGAGTTTTCTCTGTGTGTTTGCCAGGTGAGTGTGGGCTGTGATATGTACAGTAGAGCTTCTTTTACTTTAAGCAATACTTCCTAAAATAATTGTAGAATCATTATAAAGTCACTTTATCCTGTAAGGATAAAGAACTTCCTGAATTTCCAGGAAGAAGGCATTTCGCTTGTTGATTCTACACAGCAGAGAACTGCTATTTAACTAGTTTTTCCAAGGTGGGTAGGACCCACACTCAAATTAGAACTGAAAATGCAGATCCTTGCTTTCCTACTGACTTTGGTGGGATGCCCTGTTTGACTCAAGTATGACTATTGATATGTATGGAGGAATTTGTTGGGAGAAGCAAGTGGTAGAAAATAGCCTCCACAACAGAGATAGTATTTTATTTCGTTTCCTGTTCCTAGGATAAAATGCTCTGACGAAAGCAGCTTTTGGAAGGAAGGCCTTATTTTAGCTCAAGGCTCAAAGTACAGTCATGATGGAGAAATGAATGAAACAGGAGCTTGAAGCAGCTGGTCGACTTACTTCCCCAGTCTGACCAGGAGAGTAGTGAATGTGTCCTAGTGCTCAGGTCACTTTCCCCATTTTATACAGTCCAAAGTCCCCTGATTAAGAGCACCACCTGCAGTGGGCAGGTCTTCTAGCCTCAAAAAGGTCAGGATGATCCCCACAGATATACTAAGAGTCTCATTTTCCAGGCATTTCTAGCTCTTATCAAGTTGACAACTGAGGTCAACCGTCACAGATGGTCACACCCATATCACTCTGGCCTTCCTTGTCCCATCTCCTCCAACATGCTTGCCTGTCCTGTGAAGGTAGTTGAGAATATGGTGCTCGAAGTGGCTGCAGCCATCCTGCAACTGTGAGGGAAGCCATGACCCTCAGAGAGAGGCAGATGGAAACTCACGTGGGAAGTCTGCCTTGAGTTCTGGCTTCTGTATCCTAAATCACTTTCAGTTACTGATATGCTCAAATGTGACATTTACTTCAGTCTATGTACAAAGGGCTTGATTGCCAGTGGTGAGCAATCCATTGGTGACTTTGGAGAAGTGGCAAATGGCTGGATCTTGGGGGCTGTGATATATCATTGAGTTCGTCCCTTGATAGATTAATAATATGAAGGAATTGTTAGAAGTGGACAGTAGATTCCTAGTTGGAAGAAGTAGGCCATTGTGGGCAGGTCTGTAGGGGCTCTCTCTTGCCCTGGTCCCTTCTTGTGTTCCCTTTCTTTGCTGCCTGTTAAACATGAGGGAAGTAACTTTTGCCATATGTTCCTTATACCTTGAAGGCCCACATAAATGAAGAAATTCCAAAGAGACATGTCAGACTATTAAAACAATGAAATGAAGATGCCCAGGTATCATCTGCTGGGAGAAGGAAAGTGCCCCAGTTGAGGGATGAGCTTGTCTCTCTGGACGAGATTCACGTAGTTATCACAACTTGTCAGAGCATCTTACAGAGTGAGATTGAAGCCAAGACAATGCTGGGTGTTGGCCTGTGGGACCACACCTTGACCAGGACTGCGTAGACGTTATGCATATTCCTGGCCCTCTCTTTAAACTTTAATCTCTTTTCAGGAACCTGAAGAGGACATGGAGGAGACACTGGATCTCTTTGTCCCTTTCCCCAGTGTCTCTCCTTCCTTTATTTGCTTTTTACTATTTATTTGGCTCTTTTAATTGGTTTATTTAGGGTAAATAGCCAAGCTTGGCTAGGGTTACCGACTGTGACTTCAAAATTTAATATCATCATGGGGTCAGCAGAGCCAAGGATTTCTCTGAAGCCCAGTTTAATGAAGTTTTTTCTTCCCTTTAAGTTGTTTTTGTCGGTAATTCAGGCCATAGTGATAAAAAGCTAACATAGTTATGTATTTTCTTTTATGTAAACAGACTATTTAAGTCAGGTATCTAGTTTTTTACGTTCAAAAAATGCAAGACAAACCAGTGTGGTTACAGTCCACCAGAAGTAAAATATTAACTGGCTGACTTAGTTGCATGGTTTCCTTTTGTCATCCTGAGATCCAGGGCATTCTCACAGCTATAACTCCAGAACTCCTGCTCTTCGGATTCTGTCTCCCTTTGTCTCTTCCATCTTTTGAAAAACCTGTAGCCATTTATGCTCTCTTCTTTGGGTTCCTTCATCCATCAGCTCTCCTACTCCTCAATATGAAATCCTCTACTACATCTGGAAGAGTTCTCTGTCTAAAGAGGGTGCTACAGTGCCCAATATGGCTTCCCTACTTTCTGTCTTACAGTATGAGCTTTTTTCTCTGCTAAGATACTACAGGATTTAGTTTTATTATTTTTAAAACATACCCAGGACTTTTTTCATGGCCTAAGTTCTCAGATCATACATACTTTCAGAAATTGAATACACTCACATTTATAAAAATAACCGTGTGTATTAGACTAAATTAAACAATTGATATAATAATGCAGCGTGACCGCATACAACAGACTAACTTAAACAAATGGGATAGGATGTACATATTACAGCAATCCCATGGAATCTGAGGTATGTGCTGCTTGATTTATGCATAGCAGTCTGCAAAGAGCTACTTAATAGCTATCCCACTGATCACACATTAATTGTGGAACAGTTGTTATTTTCCCCAGTCAAAAATATTTAAGACCTTTAAAATTAATATGTTCATGTAGAAAATTTGGAGATTGCCAACAGAGAGAATCAAACAAAAATGTCCCAAGTTCCTGTATCCAAAAGCTGTAGTCAAGGCTGTGTTCTACTTGGTACTTTTCTTCTACAGAGGCTTTGGTGAGAGTGTCTCTGTCTGTTGGCAGCTGCTGGCACCCAGAATTGAGACTGTAGAAGCAGAGGCAGAGGGAAGACGCCAAGGAAAGCTACCGTGGAATTTCTGAATTCCTGTGAATCATGGAATAACTGCTACAATTTTCATTGTTTATTATGTTCACAATGATGTCCTCAGATTCTCAAAATAATGTAAGTATGCAGTAGCGCCACTATTGATATTTTAAATATGGGCACCTTCTTCAGTAAAGTGAGACAATTACCTCCAGGTGGCACAGATGGTAGGCCCTGGATGACTGGAGTCCACAGCTGACTGGACTTCCAAGCAGGTGTTTCTCTTTCTCTCATGTGTTCAGCAAACTGCTAATCAACAGGATGGACAGGGAGTTGGAACTGGGTTGGAGTCCTTTTTATTTTTAAATGTGTAGACTCTCAAGAATAATGCACGGGAGACCAGGCCTGTAGCTCTGGCCCTCTTCGAGAGTTTTAAGGCTAGCATCCTATCTTGCATGGTCCTTCTGAACAGTCACTTGACTGTCTAGAGCCTCTGCTGGTCATCTTTCTGCTTTGTTCTCTGCTCAGTGCTCAGTACTGGGCAGCAATCACTCCAAATGCTGAGAGCCAGCAATTACAGAGACTAAATGTTTTGAGGTACTCCTGACACATGGCAGGGTTTTTATTTGATTTCTCTGGCTTAAAGACACAACTTGAGCAGGTGAAGACAAGGCAAAGTGAGAAAATTCTAGAACCTGAAGCTGACAGATAGACCCAGCCCGTACATTGATGTGTTTACTTCCTTAAGCCTAAATTGTGGTCAGAACTGAACACAGCTGTCGTTTCTCAAGGAGATTTTATTTCTAGACTGTGTGTTTAGATTTCAGCTCGTTGTTTAATAGTTCCAGAATTCAAGCTGTCACCTTGAGGCAGGAAGGTTAGCGCTCTAGTAAGATGGATGGGAGTTCACACTCCTCACTTTCGCTTTGTTTCTTTAATATTCTTCCCATTTGCCTGCAAACTCAGCAAAACCAAAGCACAGTCGCAACACAGCCTGTTTTTACACCCCGTGGACTGAAAAGTTGATTTACTGAACAGTATGTGGATTTTCCAAGAAATGGAAATATCCACAGAGAGTTTAAAAAATCTGTAAAATATGTCAGGATTATGAGAGGGAAAAGAAATCTTCTGTGATATCTTTTGGTTCTTAGATCAACCTCCAGAGAGGTTGTAAAGCTCATGTGTTTCCCTGAATGGTCATTCTGAACTCTCTTATAAATGCCTGTTATACAACATCTGTTAAGCAAATGAGGAAAACCCAGCCCCTTTCTGTGACACATCAGGCTGGGGGCACTGCTGTCCTACTGTGACTCACAGGTGTTGATTCAAAGAGTCTGAAGAGGGCTAGCATGTGCTGAGGACCTGTTTTGTGACCCCATCATGCTGGAAACAGTGGGCGATGATGCTTCTGTCCCTTCTCTCTGGTGGAGGAAACATACATGCTGTTTCTGATGCAGAGGAGACTCGATGGGGCGTTAGATTAGAGATCCATGCAACAGCACCATGAAGGAGGGAATGAACGCATTTCGACTGGAACATTTTGAAAAGCTCCTTGGTGGTGTAATTCAAAACCAATTTGGAGGACCTGGGAAGAGGAAAATTAGCTAACTAAATGGAGAGTTCTTTCCAGAAGATTTAAAGGTAAGCCAGGCAGATTCTATAACATCGAGAGATGAGAGCCATGCATGGGTTTCCCCACCCTGCTCTCTTTTCCTGAGTATACAGAAAGGTGACATTTCCCAGCCTTGCCTGGAGTTAAGCAGGATTATGTGACTGTCTTCTGGCAAATGGGATGAAGGTTAACTGATGTATGTCTTTTCCTCTAAGATTCCTGGTTTGTTTGGATAACAGAATGCAGAGGATCCAACAAACGCCTGGGAGGACTTCCCAGACAGGCCATCAAATGGAAGGGATCAGCATGCTGAAATCAGAGATGCCTGGTCAGGAAGTAGGCATGATGGGTGAGCTATGTGATACGTGCTGTTGCTGGCCAATGGTGGTGCACGTCTTTAATCCCAGCACTCAGGAGTCAGAGGCAGGTGGATCTCTGTGAGTTTGAGGCCAGCCTAGTCTACAGAATGAGTTCTAGGGCAGCTAGGGCTACACAGAGAAACCCTGTCTCAAAAAAAAAAAAAAAAGAAAAAGAAAAAGAAAAAAAGAGAGAAAAAAAGAGCTGTCTTAGCACTAGGGATAGAGGGCTGCACAGGTGTGTTTGATAGATCTAGGAAATCCCTAGGAAAGAGTCATTTGCAAGAGTTACAGTCCTTGCCATCTTAGACAGGAAGAAGGCTCAGATTAGTAGATGCCAGGACTAGGAAGAACGTTAGACCCATCTTTCCTTTATAGAACTCTGGGAGCCGTTTTGGGAGCAGGGCCAGTTTTGTGTAGCCACTTAACTTGGGCTTGTAAGGCATAATGGGAAGAAGCAAAGCAGGAGGGCCACTCCACCAAGCAAGCACCCGCAGACATTTGCAGCTTACAGGAAACGGAAATGGGGAGGTGCTATCAGCTTACAGGAAACGGAAGCGGGGAGGTGCTATGAGGGCAGATCTAAAACTTGTTGGCTCAGGGTCTCAGTGTGTAGCCCTGGTTAGCCTAGAGCTTGCTACATAGACCAGGTCAGCTGGCTTCTGCCCCCTTAGTGCAGTGGTGACAGGGTATGTGCTACCATGCTTGGCTCATGACTACTTAACACAAACTTTTATATCTTTTTAAATTTTAATGTAACTTTTCAATGTAAACGTATTTATTCATTCTAGTGAAACAAAATAAAGTTAAACTGTGAAGTTGATTTGGTGACCACATTAAATACATTTGTCAATTATTTATTATAAAGTCTGATTGAGATAGTAACAATAATGTACTTTAAGCATTTTTTATTTAAAATATAATTATATTATTTCCCCTTCCCTTTTCTCTGTACTTATATATAGCTCTTAAAATATAAATGGATAATACATGCTTCTTCTAATGAAAAATTGAAAATATTGAAAAGTCAAGGAATAAAGTGGTGATTATTTCTAATCCTGTGATGCTGCTACAGGTCATTCTTGCATCTTTGTATGTAATGTTGCATAAACACATTGTGCCCACTGCATGAAGTCGTCTTAATTATATAATACAGAACACATGTGCATGTGGCTATAATCTGTTTCCTGTGATCACTTTTCTGTTACATTTTGCTTTGCTTTGTTTTGTTGAGATGGGGACACTTCATTATGCAGCACAGCCTGACTGTGATTCAGCCCCTCAAGTGCTGAGTACTTTCTAGAGTAAGGAATAGCATGCCTTTTTGTTTTTAATATGGGGATTTCATACATGAATACACTGTATTTGCATCATCCCAACGCCGAGTCCCCCTCGCCTTTTTGATATGTGAGTACAACTAAATTTTTAGCTTTCCCCATATAGTTAGGTACAGTTATTTTGGGGGGAAATTTTGTTGTTGTTACCTCAATGAGAATATGTGTCTTTTCGTAAGTATTTACCTGGGTTCTTAATTAGTTTTTTAAGGCTAGAAAATTTTAAAAAGTATGAAAAAACGTTAAAATGAAATCTCTTTCTCTCTCTCTCTCTCTCTCTCTCTCTCTCTCTCTGTGTGTGTGTATATAAAAACAGTCCTCAAAGATTACAGTACTTAACTTTCTTACTAGCTGAATATGAAATCATCAGCTTTGTAATATTTTTATCAAAACTGAACAGCAGCATTAAAAAATCTATATCATTTTTTGTTTTATGTCAGAGTCTCAAGGACATGAAATTCATGATATATTTGGCAACCTATTTTCAGTTGGCAAAATGACTGTCTCCTGCTAAAGTGGGTATAAATATTTCATTCTAAGAAACTGTTGGCACCCTTTGATTACAGTCTGGGGTTAGCCAATTGCATTTAGTATAGACTGTGCTAAACCATGAACAAACCTCCCCAAATCTCAGTGGCTTAATGTAATAGGATCCCAGTTCTAGCAAAGGGACTTCCAGTCAGTTTTAGGTGTGTTGTTCATCATAATGTTTTCAGGGGGAGATAGAAAATCATATTCATGGTTTTTTTTTCATTTCTTTCATATAGAAGAAGCACATGTCACCATTGCTCACACCTCTTTGGTCACAGCAAATGGCACTTGTAGCCACACTGAGTATAAGGGAGTAGGGAAGGAGAATGTGAGACATCCAATGGACAGGACGATGGATGCCATCTTTTGTCTGCCTTTAGCTCTGGGGCAGGGGCTGCACCCATAGGTAATTTCTCTGTAGTGTCCCTGGAAGTATCTCTTGGTATTATCTTTCCTGCTGAGCTTTTAGGATAAGTGTCAACAAACTTTGACCTTAGGGTGGCTTCTTGTTTTTGTATAGTCTGCTAGCTAGGATTTTTTTTTTACATTTTAAAGTGGTTTGAATAAAAAGAAAATTAACATTGGGTATAAGCATGGAAATTGTGAATTTCAAATGTGTGTTCATACATAGTCATATTGGAATGCAGCCATATGCATTTGGCTCTGTGTGGTCTATTGCCTATGACTGGTTCCAAGCTACAGTGGGTGGGAAGGTGGAGAATCCATAGCAGAGACTTCGTGGCCTGAGAGCCTAAACTCTGATCTTAGATACGGCTTCCCTCCCCAGCACTCCCTGGAAAGCGATTATTTTCTAGATACTTCATATTTAGGTAGAATCTTCCAGCTGCTAGGTGGAAGCAGAAATGTTTCTAAGTGCTATGGCCATTGTGCACAGTTACATGGTTGTGCAGAGCCATGAATAGAAGAACAATGAGACTGGAATCCCAACAGCTAAGAGCAGGAAAAAAGAAAACCAAAACTAGAATTATTGGGGAGTTGGGTTTCTTGAAACAGAGGCTTCAGTCGCATGATAGACCAGATGAGTGTCTTACTAGACTTTTCAGCCCCTTGAAGTTATATCATGTAAATTAACATGGATATGAACACAAGGCTTCGGTGACTGCTGATAAAATATATGCATACATATGCACATGTATATACACATACATACATTAAAAAAAGAAGGAAAGATTAATTCCTCAGCTAGGGGAAAGAATTAGATTTTGCAATGTACTTTCACAGCTCATTGTTTCTGGGAGTATTTCCCTTTCAAAAGTCATTTGTAAAAATGTTTTAAGTATCTCTTAGAGGTTCCATGCACATGTAAGTCAAGCTGGCTTTCTGGGAGACTTACTGGCTGTCCTGTGTGAGGTATTTAAGAAACACCGGTCCATCCGTTGGTAGCATATTGTGCTAAAATGAGGGCTCCTGAAGCAAGACATTGACCCAGGAACACAATGCATTTTTCTTTCATTTAGTGTTAAAGTAATTCTGCATAGTGAGGATAGTTAGGGGTGGGACAGAAGACGCAGCATATATGTATTCCAGCAATAGATATGTAAATATCTATTTCCCTTAAACACCCCAAATGGCATTCCCTATTACCCATGCAATAGATTCAATTTATTTGTATATCTAACCAGCTCTTCGAATCCAGCTTCCTGTGAGAGGCATTCTCTTATACTGCAGTCCTAAGTCACATCCAGTTCTGACTGGAGGATGTCATCTCTGACCTTGTGTCATAGTCAGAGGTACTGGAATCCTTTAGATCATTTCAGACAGTAGGTTCTTCCCCATCTGGGAACAGGCACCCTGGTTCTTTACCTTCCCCAGACAGTTCCAGGTGTTTGTTTCTTTTCGTATTTGGTCAGCTTTATTGTTAATAAAATATTTTTGAATTATGAGCATTCTATTTATAAAGAAGAAAATCCATATGATAAAATGTTGTTTGTGTAAAGCATTCAAATCACACTATATGTATGTGCACATCTTATCCAGGGCAGAGTGGATATCCAGGTTTTTTCCAGCACCATTTGTTGAAAATGCTGCCTTTCCCCCATTGTTTGGTTTTAGCATCTTTGTCAAATATCAGATGGTTGTAGCTACATGTACTTAATGTTTGGATCTTCTGTTTTGTTCCTTTGGTCTACATGTCTGTTTCTTTGTCAGTACTATTGTTTTTATTACTATATCTCTGTAATACATCTTGAAATATTAAATGGTAATTTCTCTAGTGTTTTCTTTTTGCTCAGGGTTGCTTTGGCTATTGGGGGTCTTTTGTGGTTCCATATGATTTTAGGATTTCCTTTTTCTATTTCTGTGAAGAATGGCAATGTGTTTTTATTGGGATTGTATTGAATGTGTGAATAGTTTTTGGTAGAATGTTCATTTCCACGATCTGTGAGCATGGGAGATCTTTTCACTTCCTACCATCTTTCTCAGTCTCTTTCTTCAGTGGTTGAAAGTTTTCATTGCAGAGGTCCTTCTTAGGGTTATTCTTGGATATTTTTCCCTTGAGGTCATTGTGAATGGGAGGTGTCTATGAACTCTTTCTTAGTGTGTTCATTGTTGGTTATAGAAAGGCTACTACAAGTTGATTTTTTTATCCTGTCACTTCGCTAAAATTGTACCACAAAGCAGGTCAACTACCTGTGGCTGGTGAGGCTATGGAACCTAGAGGAGAACCTATTGCTGCTATTTCCTAAACCAGCATAATTTCTAATGTATTCTAAATGTATACCCACAGATAAAGGGATCTCTCACCCCTTATCATAGAACCTTCTTTTTGCAGGAGACAGAGACCATTACAAGAAACCACAACTAATCAAAATACAGAGAACTGACCATGGGGCAAAGAGCTCCAGTTGATTTATCTACAGCACAGCCCGTACACCTATGGCTCAGAGAATACTACAGAAAGGGCTCAGAAAGATTGTAAGAGCCAAAGGACTGGGACATCTGTTGTGAAACAGTGTCTTCTATATAGGGGAGGGAAGTTATGCCCATAAAAATCACAACAAGAGAGTTGTTTAAAGAAGATTTAACCAACGACATCACAAGTTGACATGCCAACATGGATTGGGGAAACAGCATAAGGCCCCATCTCTAGATCAAGAACTACGGGAAAATTAATGACCCCTGAGAGAGGGAGAAATAGTTTTCCCCAGAAACAAGCCCTCTAATTAGTTATCCAGTACCAAGTGGTCATCCCTAAAAGTATATACACATAAGCAATGCTAAATAGACTTAGCAGATTGCATTAATATATTCATATGTAATAATGTAACACAGTTGTAATGTACTGTCACATAGATTACTTCCATTAACCTCTTCTGAGTTCCTTCTGAGTTAGAGAAGGCAAGGGTTATTATCCACATTTTCCTGAAGCCTATGGAAACCATCACTGGATAGATAAGCCTTGGTCTAGTTCTCAACGCTCTAGGTCATTGTGTTCTTCTGTGAAGTTATCTCCCCAATCCTGGCTGAATCAAGCCCAACTGTGTCCCATCTTTGGGAATTTGTAGGTGGGGTTTTCTTTTAAAGAGAAACTCTCATTGTGGCCTTTGTTTCATGATAAACATTTCTTCTAAAGGTAGAACTCAGGTTACAGTTTGACTTTTTTATTAAATTTTTTATTTAGTTTAGAAACAATCATATTTTGCATATAAATCCTAGTTCTCTCTTCCTCCCATGTTCCCATGACCCCCACCAACCCTCCCATCCCACCCTCCATACAATCCCCAAAGAGGGTGAGGCCTTCCATGAGGGATCATCAAAGTCTATCACATCTTTGTGGGGGGCGGGGCTAAGCCCTGCTCTATGTATCTGGGTGGAGAGAGTATCCCTTCTTGGGGAACGGGCTCCCAAAGTCCATTGGTACAGTAGGGATAAACACTGGTTTTGCTGTTGGAGGTCCCATAGACTGCCCAGGCCTCCTAACTGGCACCCACATACAGAGGGCTTGGTTCGGGTCAATACTGGTTCCCTAGCTTATGATTTGGGTGAGTGTGCTCTCACTTGGCCAGGTCTGCTGTTTTTGTGGGTTTCTCTAGTATGATCTTGACTCCTTTTCACATCACTCCTCCCTCTTTATAACTGGATTTCAGGAATACAGCTCAGTGTTTAGCTGTGGGTATCTGCTTCTGCTTCCATCAGCTACTGGATGAAGGTTCTAGGATGGCATATAAAGTA